CCCCAAAACCCCAAAACCCCAAAACCCCATCAAGCTAGAAAAGAAGTTATTTATTGAAATATCATATAAAATGAATATTTCTTTTTTACAACCATTGAAAAACACAGCAATAAGATCTCATTAAACTTCCCCAAGAATCAAACTTAAAGAACTTAATATCAAAGATCTGATTTTGAGGAATCTAAAAGAAGACTATCCTTAAACTGATTAATAATTCAGTGTTTAGCCAGTTAAGTTGAATTGAAAGTTAAAGTCAAAGATCATAATACCATTGAGGTCAAAAGGTGATGAAACAGGCATCTCAGAAGCAAGAATGGAACTTAGAAAAAATCAATTTTTTCATAAAGACTATAATCCAAAACATGAAGAAGCTATTTAAAAGAGAATCAATTAAAAAATTTATTAGATGAATACGTCAGAACCCTATTATAACTAGGATTAAAAGCATTCCTAACAGAATAAGAGTTTGATTGAGCCTTCAGTAAATCAATTTATTGTTAAGCAAGAACTATAAATATCTCAAAAGCAAATTGACTAAGAAACATTTAATGTAATCACTAATACTCGAAGAGCTTTCTCCAAAAGACCTTCAATTGTAGTTCAAGACTCTATAGATGATTAGTAAAAGGCTTTCAATTTAACATTTAATGAAATAAAATAGTTTTAGCCTTAATCTCAAAGAGAAAATCATAGGAGAAGTAATCATCTGTAGCACCAATTAGCAGCGTTATCACTTTAGCCTGAAGATTCTGTCAAGCATTTACAGATTGATCAATTGAATAGAATTTAGGAAATTTCGGAAAATACCCTTAAAAAGTATGCACCAAATAATTTTGCTTCAAATACAAGTCTAAAACTAAGAGAGCTAGAAAATTTGCTAGATTTAGGTTATAGTAAATAGGAAATAATCAAGTAGATGCAGATTGAAGCAGATCCAGAGAATAATAATAAGGGGACATATAATTTTTCTAAAAACGACTCTGAAATAAAATTGATAAAGCAGGGTCAATAACCAAAGCTCAAAATCCTGTTATCAAAATAATATAGAAATATTTTCCAGCTTGAAAAACCTTCTTTTAAGAAGATGAGCCCATCAAAGTTTTTCTCTAAGTATAATGAAATAGTTGAAAGATATGTGTCCCCTGATTTAGATGATTAGCATCAGGCTGACATTATCAGATCAAAGTTGAGAGAGCTAATCACTTTCAAGAGGAAAAAAAGGTCACTTGCAGACTTTAGTATGAGTAGATAGGATTCATAATAAGGACAGCATTAATTGCATAAAAGCCAGGTATCAGGACAAGGAAGAGTCAACATTAATTTTCAATAAGTCAAGAATCCTTTAATGAATGAACTACTAAAGAGTTAAAGAGTAAAATCAGTTAGAAATAGCATTGAAAACTCTTAGTTTTCCTCAATTGACACATCTAAGTTTATAAATAATAGTTTATCTAAGATAAATAGTGTTTCGGATAGTACTAAATTCCTATCAGTCATCCCGACTAATAGAGTAGGGAGTCAAAATAAATATAATCATAGGAGAAATGAGAGTTTCTCAAAAATCATGAGTATTCAATAGTCTTGCGAATCCTAGATTTAGCTAAGCTAAAATACAGTCAAAGATTTTAAATCTTTCGAGAAAAAACAGAGTTAATTGCAGGAGGAATCTCTAATCCTGCAAAGTTCAATTCATAATTTGCAAAATTTGCAAATGCTCGGAGATAATTCCCAAAACTTTGAGGAAATTAAGTAAGATGTAGCATTTGAGTGTCAGCAGGATAAAGAACAGCAAATGGATAATGAAACCCTAGATAAATACATTACAGATAATAAGAAGAATTCATTATTTATTGCAAGATACGCTAAAAGGAGATAGCTTTGGAAACCTGAAAAGTTTAAATACAGTCGAAAAGTAAAGATTGCTGAGAATTACGATTAGCTTCTAAGCAAGTGATATTCAAGAACTAAACTGATAAAATATAATTATGCATCTATTTTATTTTAGGAATAAGATAATAATTCAGTATTATTATAATTGGAGCGTAGGGGTTTTGGGGTTTTGGGGTTTTGGGG